ATGGATGAACTACGGTAAAACAGATCAGATGAGCAAGAACAATTGTGTTTAACTGGACAATTCGACTTCGAATCGCATGGAGAAAAGCGTGAAATTTAATCATTTCCGAACAGTAAAATACAAAGAAATCGAGTATTTTCAAAAACATGTTTTTTTTGATGATCATAGGTTATTAAAGATCATATTATAATTAATCTTTATTCAAACACTAATGCCGTTTGATTTCTTTCAAAAAAAAAACTCTTTTTAACATCTTGATTATTTGAGTAAATAAAGGAAAAGTAAAACTATGTCAACGAATATGAATATCTTTTTGATTCTATTTGCAAATGTCATATTTACCGTTGTCGAAGAGGATATTTAAAGTTTTGAATTAAACTTGTAAGTGTAGAATTTTGTTCTTGAAAGAGGAAAGTGAATTTGGCAGAATATATAAGTCATAGATATAAATAGATGTATTAATTCAAGAAAAATCATCAAAATAGACAACAATCGGTTGAAAGGGAAATCTTTTCAGACAAATAATTTCTGCAAGAAGATCAATTTTCTTCTCTCTTGTGGAAGGAAGGTAATGAGATACCATAGAAAATACGAATTGATGCTCGCTATTGTCCTTATGGCTATATTGCATGAATATACATTGGTTATAATTTTCAATAGAACTTGGACAAAGGGCGACCGATATCGAGGAACTCTAATCTGGAGTCAATTTTGCTTGCGGAGCGTGTTATCAGGTCTGTCACGATTAACACCCCCGTTAGAAAATTTTAATTTGTCGAGTGTTTTTGTTAAGATTTTCACCAAGAGCTATGAGTCATACGCACAGACTATACATAGGAGAACGCTTCTGCTTTTGTATCGGTGTGTGTCTGTCTCTCTTTCTTGCTTATCATTCTCTCATTACCAAACATCACAGATATCATCTTTTCTTGTACTTAGATTATCTCTACCAGATAGTTAATGTGACGGTGGAATCTGCGGAGAATTATTTCTATTAATATTAACTTAAGCTTAAGAAGTGGTGCCATATTCACTCATCTAGATAAATATTTTTGTTACAGGCTTCACTCGATGACCAATCTTTGCTAAATGTAATACAAGTAAAGAAATATTCGTCCCAAAGTGTTTACAGCTGACTAAAATCTTCAGAGTGAGAATATAGTGTGGATATAGGTAAAAGTGCAGATGTCTTTTCTCTCTTATCACTCACACTTTCATTGCGTTATTCTGTACAGATTTCATTTAATTACTACTTGACATTGAACTAATTATACGATATATGTATTGTGCATTATAATTCACATGTGATAAATGACAAGGTGGAAAATGCAACACCAAGTTGAAAAATAAGATTGTTGTTAGATTACTCCGTTTTTAAACGATAGAATCAAATATATTTGTTTGGAGCTTTATACTTGTACTGGATGTGAGAGTGTGAGAGAAAGTGAGCAATATCATATTCTAGCATCACCCATTGTTATCTTGATCCTTGTCTATAATGGAAATGCATAACAGGCCTCGCGGTCAATCGTTGTAGATATAAGTGAAGGATTATTTTTATCCTAGCTGTTTAGCTGCGGTGCAGTAGATTCGACGTACTTTTTTCGAATTACTGATTTATATTTTCTTGTGCTTGTGATGAGCATACGGGGCTATCAATATAGATGCAATGATTGATTCGCAAGGTTCTTCTCGGAATCGACTGGACCGATCAGGATGTAATTTGGAAAAGGTTCGGGGAGACGTGTTTTATGAACGATTCAGTTTATTTTCTGGAGTATGAAAGAGGAACACGAAAAGAATGAAAATTCAAGCCAAAATTAAATAAAAAAATAGTTCCAATTGGACGTGAGTAAATCTTTTTATGACTTCATTTTGTTGTTGTTAAAGAGATAGATCAGTAGAGGAAAAGCAAAAGTTGCCATTAATGAATAACGACTCAGTGGTGCTGAGCACGTGCTAAAATGTAAGACATAAGTCTTAGAAGAAAACATAAACTTAAATATATCTTACGCGGTGAGGCCGCTGCTACCACTTATAGAACACGTGTATAACGATCGGCACAAAGAGTTTGTGCAATATGTACAGTTAGAGACAGATGTTTGGCCACAGGTTCCAGTGGTCGATCCCGTGCTTGGACAACAGCATTTACACGTATCACTTTTTGCAATGACCACAAGCAGACAAAGCACCAAAACTTTGAACAAAACTGAATTCATGACGTTGCTTCTTGTACGAGATTTATTTCGATCGATGGCAGCTTCCTCGCAATATGCCGAGCATTTTATAGTTGCTGATCGACGAAAATAAGCAACAACTTATTGGTAAACATAGCAATATTTACTTAATAAGATCAATATTATGATTCCTCATTTGCATTTTTGCTTTGTATACAAAGATCAGCTACAACTGACTTTACTCATTCCATTTGGGGTTGTACGCAAATGTATGTGTCAATGTTTGTTGAAGAAATTGAAATGGTAAATCATGAAACATTTCGTTTGTATTTGCTCTTCGAATAGAAAGATCACGGACAACTCAACTACTCCTGATTTCGGGGAAGGAACGTTTTTCGACATTTCTTTTTTTCTTCTGTTTGGCATTGCAAAACTATATTAAAGTGACGCACGACAGCATAAAAACAACTTCACTTCTTCCGCTCTGCACGTATAATACTACAATGCATAGAGCGATCGTCTACGTGTATGTTCTTCTTCTAATTGCTATCTATACTAATGCGTTCCCGAAGGGTTAGTAATATCTCTGAAGTATTTCGTCACATATAGACTTTTCTTGCAGATCCAGCTATCAACGAGATACAACGCCTTGAAGAGGCAGCTGCTCGAAATGTTCATATCAGTGGTAAGTACTTCTATATGTGTTACTATACAGTAAGACTCAGGTGTGATGTTTTTTCTCAAATCAGAGCAAGATATGATCATGTTGAATAGTGATCGGAGCGGCAACCAAGATAGAAATATAGCTGGTAAGTACAACTGGAATTTAGACAGTTATGAACGCTTGTCTCTTCTGTAGCATTCAATCTTATTGCTTCCCGCGTCAATCCCAGTGAACGTTCACTTGTAGATCAAATTAGTGAGTCAGAACGAATGTGTAGAATCCGTGTTTCTATTTGTTTCTTAGCGTTACTCGCTGGTATCAATCAACCGCCGAAAACCACAGCTTGAGCAGGCAACACAACAATATAAACATGATGTGATTTCAAACGCTAAAACTTAAACTATTCTCTCATTAAACCTTGTACTTATTCGAAAATAAATTTTGTAAGGCATTATTCTAGAAAAAGTCTGTTTTTTAAAAACCTAAGTCGAATCTGCAAAGTTCGTAAATCTTGAATTATCATTTTCAGTAATTTTTCTTTGAGAACTGTTCTGATGTGCACCGATATTGAATGTTAAATAAAGATTTCTAATGATTACGTGAGTCGATGAACGTTGAATAGAAATTATATCAATACGATGTATTCTAGCCCATAGGTTAGGCTAGATTGAAAAAGCAATGCACAATACCAAAAAAGAATTTCTATCTGAGTACTACGACGTTCTCTAAAAGCGATCATTTCCACTTCAGTCTCTTTTCGCATACATCTTGCGAACTCAATATCTTTGGAGCAAAGGCGCGAAGATACGAGCCCTCTTGAGTTTTTTTCATACCTCATTGAGATCCATTGAGCATCAAAAAAAGGGACTTAAATAGCTTGAACATCTAAATATGTTCACTCGTAAGACATACCCTATATTTGAATCACATAGATCATCTCACCTCAAATATATTAGCGAAACGTTTTGAGACATGTAAATGTTTCATTTTATTCTTAAGTTTCTTAAGATTGTAGTCTACAATGGTCCCATTGAGTAGTATAGTAAGGTCAAAAAAAAAAGAGTTTATAGCATTGTAACACTTTTAGTGTGTAATTCGTTAAAATTTTGATTTACCTATTTGACGTGATAATATTCCATAATAAACTGAGAAAAATCCAAGATATAAGTTTTGCAATGACTTCAAGGCATCTTGACGCATCACCAGAACAGAAAATCGGAAGGAACCACAGCAATTTGTTGTCTATCATTTGCTCAAATTTTTTACAAATCTTTGGTCACCTTTTCTATCTTTCAAAAGTGTTTCATTTAATTGTTAAGCGCGAAAAACATCTGCGAAATGCTTTGCCTAATTAGAAGAAGAAATCAAAATAGAGTAGCCTATAGATAAGACGAAACTGAGATGATTTTCTGAAATAAAGAGTTAAGTAAGATAGGGCATAAGTGTACAACTCATGTTTCGGGTCCAACGAAATTCGACATGGCATCCGAAACCATAGGAATCCAATGCGATTCCGTCACCATCGGATCCACGTGCGGGATTGATCGACTGTCGTAACTGAACAGATCGACGATCTGAACTGGAATAATGCGACATCATTCCCAAAGAATGGAAGAAAGACAAAAACGGGTTATAGGCGTAAGTTTCTCGATAAGCCGCCAGCAATTGCATTGGAATCCGGCTAGAAAAATCCCGTCGGTTGTTGCAAATTTTATGAGCGATCTTTCTAGCTATATTCTATGATGACCCTTAGAAAATCCCGGAAATCCATGTTTCGGATCCGAGACCGTCGGAATCCAATGCGATTCTGTCACCAGGATTTCATCGGATCCGTTGAATTCCTGTAGGATCTGATAAAATCCTATATTGGGTCCGATGGGAACCGAGTATGGGATTGTTCGACCTGGGATGTGCACTTGAAAAATAGTCATTTATTTTGTTGTTTTGAATACATTTGATCGGGAACTAATTTGACAAGAACATCCACATAATCAGCATCCCCTTAGTACATTACTGGAGGACCCAAGGGTACCTTTATAAGAGCATGTTAGTTTGAACAGTTATCGAATAAACGGCTGGGTGCCGATCTGACTGACCTGAGTAGTGTTACATATCATGGCTCTCCAAACAATTCCGCCGCATACCCTCACCCTGATAGAGGCTTAAACTTTGTAAAAGCTTTTGCTATTTGTAATTTAATTTATTGCTTTGATCATTGGGGAAATAATATTTTTAAGATTTGTCTTTTTTAAAGAAGAAAGAAAAACAAAATAAAATGGTGTGTGTGTTCATTGAATAAAGATGCAACGAGAAATACGAGTAAGAACATTGTTACTTGTGTTCTTGCTGATCCATATGAAAAGATTCTATCTAAGATAATAAACTATTGAATCAATTAAAAAAGCCAGTCTTGAATCAAATATCCTATTTGAAGATTACTCCTTCTGAACTGAAATTGCTTTACTGCGAATAACTCATTTGAGCACATAGAAGGTGGATGGATGTGAATGTCTCATAACGAAACAAGTCATTTACTCTCATGCTCAAATCGTCATTCTTCTTTGATGGTTTCATTTCTGAAAGTTAACATAAAGCATCAAAGTTCTTCAATGATACTGTAATGACAAACTTGTTGAGTAGCTGACCGCTTCTCACGGTATAGACGTTTATTGACTACTCGACATGACCAGAATGTGTCTACTTCACAATAAGTCACACGCTTATATAGAGAAGAGAGACAAAGAGAGGTGACCCCGAGATAATATGATATAGAGGTGAGAGAATAAAGAACAGAAAGAGATGAAGGATAGCATTATCGTTACAGATACGACACATACAAAGATAAGGTAACGAACAAATAATCTCTTCACGTTAAATCTGTCCGTCAGAAAATTCTCTCTACAAAAGTTCTTTTGTAACTATTTTATTACCAATCATATACGATATATTTATGTTTGCCTCATCTGTCAATCAGACACATTTATTGGTTGATTAGACAAATCGTAAATATTTGAAAAAGATATGGATGTCATTTATATTGAAGAGAAAAACTATCGACACATTATTTTCATTTGACAGCGTGTTATCGTCGTGTGAGAGGTAAAAATTAAATACATAAATGACATAAAATTTTGTTGGAATATACCTATTATCTGCATTATGCTACTGCACAATTTGTTTATTCTATGGCAATTGCACATAGTAGTACAGAACCCATTCAATATGTATGAAACAGATCATGTTCAAGATGGATTCTGCCTATTCTATTATGTACAGGATGATATTGTTGGATATAGGAAACCATATATCCTTGCTCATCAAACAATATCGTATTGTCTTCGATCATCAGGAGATAACATTCTCATTCCGAATTTCAATTTCGATCCCAGGTCGAACAATCCCATACTCGGATCCCACCGGATCCCATCGAATCCTATCGGATCCAATACTGAATTTTACCGGATCCTACAGGAATTCGACGGATCCGATGCAATCCTGGTGACGGAATCGCATTGGATTCCGACGGTCTCGGATCCGATCGGATCCTACGTCGGATCTCGTCGGAACCGAAACATGGATTTCCTGGATTTTCTAAGGGCCATCATAGAATATAGCTAGAAAGATCGCTCATAAAATTTGCAACAACCGACGGAATTTTTCTAGTCGGATTCCAATGCAATTCCGTTTCCAGGAATCCGATCGGATTTTGTCGGATGGTCGGATCCGGTAAGATCCGATCGGATCCAGCATCGGATTTGTTGACCTGGGATGGTATTCGTGGCGCTACTTTTACTTTCGCTGATTTAAAAGCGAAAAATATTAGTAGCCAACAATTACTTCAATGGTCGGCTCCAGTTGATACAGCAGAGCGCTATCAGATCTTTTTGGATTCTGTTTCGAACTCATATTCAGCATTCGAAAACGGAACATTATTCTATAATTGTACACCACCATGGTTCGGGCCCTACTGTCGATTCACATTTTACCAATCCGCTAATACATCGTCGAATGATATGATTAAAGCACTTTTGATAGCTTTCAGTGTACTCGTTAAAAGTGTTGGAGTGACGTGTTACGAGCATCTGAAGTGTCAAATTTCGTTTTCGTGCCTGAGTTGGCATAATATTTGCGATAGAAAAGTCGACTGTCTTGACGGATCTGATGAAATGGATTGTTGGCAATTAGAAATCAACGAATGTAATGAGAACGAATATAGATGTCACAATGGGCAATGTATTCCACAAGAATTTTTCCATGATATTCCACTTAATCCAGATTGCTTGGATCAAACAGATGAACCGATGAGACTTGATTTTCAAGCAAACTGTCAACATGATCCCGCCTTTCGATGTGAAGAACACACTTGTCGACCAGGCGTATATGATTTTCCATGCGGTGATAGAGAATGCACAAGTGAGACTTACTCATGCAGAAATGGTCGCGACAAAATTCTACCCGATGACTATTGTTCAAATGCTGCGGCTTGTTCTATAAACCTATCTCAAATGAACGAAACTTGGTGTGAAGAATTTTGCACAAATATAAATTGTATTGAAAAGTATTGTGGTTCGCTATACGAAATTCATACTGGCCCTGGTTTATTAGGACATGTACATTTCCTATTCACGAACGAAGAAGTGCTATTTGAGTCTGAAACAAAGTTTTTACCAGATTATGTGTGCTACGATGAAAAACTGTGCATAGATTTTCTCCCTGGTAAAGTGTCTTTAAATGGGTCAACATGTCGCCATAGGGACGAGTTACAATTAGATACGCCTCATGTTTATCTCGAATTTCTCATACAAGTAAAAAGATTATTTCGTGGATGTTTAGTAATGGCTAATAATACACATTATTGTAATCATCCATCAATGTATCAATGTGAGAAGACAAGCAAATGCATCTCAAAACATCGTCTTATTGACGGCATTCAAGATTGTCCATTCAATGATGATGAGACATTCAATCAAAGTTGTTCACTCAACAATACGCATTATCGATTTCCATGTTCAGTCGATAAAACTAAAATGTGCATTTCTCCATTATTAATTGAGGATAACAAAAACGATTGCGATAATGAAGAAGACGAATATCCAACAAAGGTCATCTTGAGTGAAAATCAGATCAATTTTCAAACAATATGTGATAACAATGAACAGCTGCTTCCTATACTAATTGATGAACAATATGAGACCGATGAAACATCATGTGACTTCTGGGAATGTAATAATACCTACACGAGATGTGACAAATTTTGGCATTGTAAAGATGGAGCTGATGAAGTCAATTGTTCACCTTCCACTTGTCCTGAGTTTCAGCATAGCTGTGTCTTCCCAAATGACACATCCAAAATATCGTGTTTACCAATAAATTTAGCCGGTGATGACATTGCCCATTGTCTTGGAGCAACAGATGAACGAAGTGGTTGCGTAAATTTTTCACCAGAATATTATGAATATAAATTTGGCTGTCAGAATCCAAAGCTTTGTATTTATTCGGCTTTGCTATGTAATAACAAAAGCGATTGTCTGCTACATGATGATGAAATATTTTGTGCAAACCCTCCCGACGACGAATTCGATTCACTATGTTTCTTTTATCCATCTGATTCTCGAACGGAAGTCGAAAACTTTCTCTGTGAATTTGGTGATCAACAGAGACGACCAAAAAGCTTATATTTTATATTGAGCGATATGCCGATTGAATATCAAGAAATGTCACCAAGTGCCGTTTTATCGCAATCAATAGCACAGACACGTATTGAATCAAATGAAATACATTCAATTAAAACTAATCGAAACAATAATAGCGGGAGTTGTAACAGGGGAATTCCTGTTATGGTGTGGATGGGAGAAGAAACAAATACATTCTATTGTCTTTGTCCACAAAGTTATTATGGTGATTTATGTCAATATCAGAATCAACGTGTTAGCCTTACCGTTCAAATACGGGTAACCATGGATTGGCGTAGTTTGTTAACTTTTCTAATCCTTCTTATTGACGATGAAATGAATACCGAATCACATGATATTATTGAATATTTTCCCATTCGAGATTGTGATACTAAGTTCAATATCTATTTACTTTACTCAACTCGACCAAAGGACATATCAAAAAATTATTCAATTAGAATAGATGCGTTTACCCACGGAAAAATTTTTGAATAAAAACCGCGGTAATCAACGGTTTAATATATGCGGTTTTGACCGGTAATTTTGAACCGCAAAAGTCAGACCTTTTATTAGGTTTTTCCACACCGGCTAAAATCGCGGTATGTCAAACCGCGGTTATTAACGGTTTCAACGAAAAATAATATACCATCATGATGGTACATCATTTCTGGCAGGCATTCTATGTTCTCAATCTATCTACCATCTTCATACGGTCATCTAGCACCTCGGTTAACTCATTAAGCACCACTATCTATTTTTTATTTAAATTCTTCTAGTTAGATTCGAACGTCTTACCTTATGCTTACCATCTACTTATTCCATTGAACCATCTGGTGATGTTTATATTAAGATTAAATATGATAGTCTATCTTATTGAAAAGTCTTCATTTAGTCCAATATGTTTCATTTACTAATAGCTTTATGAAAATTTTAGAATTGCTAATAATATTTCTATAATCTCTCTAATTTCTATGATACTTTCTTGGATACTCATGTTCATGATGAGATGTATGTAAATTATAATCTGATTTTATTTGTATTTATGATAATTGATTATTATCGTACAAATAAATGATATATTTTAATAGAAAGTAAATAAGATAAATATATATTTATTAAAATATGCAATTGATAAACCGGAGTATTGTACTGCGTTATGAAAAGTCGAGCTGCATTTCTATTAGAACTTAAATTATATGTAAATCAATACTTCGAAACATACATAACTATACGAATTGATAGATATAAGTCAATTTGATCAAACAACAACGACGAAATCTCGTATAAATATTATATATGAATTTCTATTATCTCCTGAATATTATAGATAATCGTGTTAATAAGATCTAACAATAATATTATGATA